GTTATATTTGTAGTTGGTATTCCATCCTAAAACAAAATAGCACGACATACAACCAACAATTGCTTGATAACATCTTCAACGCCCCAAGGGTTCTCTTATTTTTCACAATGAAAGGTATATTTTTTAAACTTACATTCACTATATCATTATCTATATCATTTTCAAGTATGAGAAGCAAGACTTTGAAGCATAAGACTCACTTAAATAAAATTATTTTAATTGAGCCAAATCCTATACATTTTTTCTTATCATTTAAATTTTTATATAGAAAACTTCATGTCTTTTATAATTTTCTTTTAATTTATTTTATTTGTATAAATGCAATGTGTGTCCCAACATCCTGTGATAGGGGCAGAATTTGAGATGATCCTTCTTGTCGACTTCCTCGGCTTCTTTGGCTCTGACAAACTGAACTCGGACTTCTTCATTAAATTTCTGAACATCTTCGGCACAGCTTTATCTTTGAAAGAATACACTGTGTTCATCAGTTCTGAAAAAGTTGGAACCCGTCTACAGTGGCCAAAAGAGGTCATGGCAAGCCAACAAAAATATAGATCAAATCACTTTCTTATAAAAGTTATATTATAATGAATTTAAAAATTTGTGGATTTATTTTTATCCAATCTATATTAGAAGTTTCTTTATTCTCCCATAATGTGTTCCTTATTTTCTAACATTAAAAAAATGAGCAGTTGAATTTGGAATAAAGAGGCCAATGTATCCTTGGTGTTGTTAACAATCTTATTTTAACTCTTGGCTTGTTATATAAAATTTTGGGTCGAGCTGGCTCGATTTGACTCAAAATCAAAATGAGCTAGCTCAAATTGAGTCATTTGGATCTGTTTGAGCTCAAAATCGACTCCATCGACTCAAAATTAAAACTAACTAGCTCAAATTGAGTTATTTGGGTATGATCCAGCTTGAAATTGACTTATGACTTGTTATATTAAATTTTACTTAGCATTAAACATATAATTATAAATAAGAAATACTTCTAAGTGATCTCTAAGTCATTTCGAGCCAATTAATGTATGACTCAAAATCAACTTAAGAAAATTTTTTATCTCAATTTTCGGCTCATAGCTATGCTTTATTATTTCGATTTGAGCCAAAATTCAAATTCATTTTCGAGCGAATAACGATGACCCTATCTGCCACCATAATAGTTTGCCATATTAACCCTCAAATAGGATACTGATGTTAAGTCAAATTAACATACATACCACTCAATTCTTTTGTATTTACATATCTAACATTATCTTATTTATGCAATAAAACCTTTATTTCACTTTTTAAATGTTAAAATGAAACTACTTTTAATTTAATAATAAAAATTCTTGTTATTTATGTAAAAAGTAAATTTTAGGTGCTTGATATGTAAAAACAATGTAAATGCCGCTTTTTTAAATGTCAATTTATTAAAATTTAAGAACTGTTCGGTAAATTTTCATAATGTAATTTCATGATTACTGAGAAAATTTGCGCTTCTCTGCTTTCAAAATCGAGCGGCTGAGAATTCACAGAACAACGATCGTTGATGCAGTCACGCATAAAAAGACTAAAAAGCCCCCGATCATGTGCAGCGCCAGTGCTAATCCCAACCGTTAGAACGCGGGGATGAACTTACGATACTACAAGATTAATTTTATGTAGCCCGAATTTCACCCAAAGCTCACTTGCAACTTCACGTGGGTTAAATTTTCTGGTCACTTGACAGGGTGCGTAAAAGAAAAAAAAACTGATATCCTTCCAGCCGCCCCTTGGCTGCCTTAACTATCGGAGAACTATAAAAGCCCGGCGTGCGTCCATTTCGGCGTGCGTTCATTTCCGCAGACTATATATATATC